TACATCATGAGACAAAGAGACTTTTGTTGCCACTGAGGAATGTTTCAGGCAACTGTTACAACTTCAGTACAGTATTTGTGTGTGTATTGTTGTCTTGGGCCTTCAATTTCATTCATTGTACTGTATATTGAAAAAAAAAAACTACTCATTCCACTAGCTTTTCTTTACAACAGACAATGATATTGTATGTTACTTGTAAACATATCATGTATGTTAAAGCTCAAGAAACTTTTACACCTGTTACATGCAAAGTCCACAAGGTGGCACTGAAGTAAACACATTCTTAAAATTTAAAATGAAATATATATATATATATATATTATTTTCTCTTACTATGCTTTAGATTAGCAGTTTGGCATTTACCTTGTGGTCGTGGTAGCATGAAATTCAAAAATTACTTCCCTCCTATCAAGATTAATGTTTCCCAATCTCTCCCACTTCCAGAGAGGAGGAATGCATTTCAAGAATTGTAGAACCTGTGCGTTCATCCAAACGGAGTACTCCCTCCCCCCATTTCTTACACTGACCTCTATAGCTAGTGTCCATGTTCTCTTCTGATCCATCACATTGACTCTAAAACTATTCTTCTTTAGCTTAGGAAGTAGGATCTAAATGATATGTCAGTCCCACTCCCTTTTTAGGGAGGGGAGAGATATGTTTGTTCTGGCCACACAGAAAGATTCGTTTGCTGTGTTTTAATGTCCCTAAAATGGGCTTCTTTCCAGAGAATCTTCAATAAAATAAATAAATAAATAGAACAAAAATATTCAAGGAAGCTTTAAAAGTTATAAATACAGTCTAAGAAGGATGAATGTAAACTTCCTCCTGGTCTCAAATTAAAGCTTTAAGTGCTGTAAGTAATGCCAGGCCAATCAGTTTATATCCCCAGATTTTTCAGGAATCAAATATGACAAGAAGATGTGATAACAATTGTGTGAATATAACTGACATGCAACTGTGGAGGGTTATGTAAATAACAGCCAAGAGAGAGTGTGAGGAGTTTTTACGATGACTTGTGGTGGAGTGGCAGGAATTAACTGTTTTTCTCCTTCTCTGAAGCTGCTCTTTGCATTTCAGAGAAAATTTGCCAATGTCAATTTTTTTGTGAATGGAAACAGAAAGGGATAAACTCTCCTTTCCTCATCCCACACTGTTTAGATGCTGCTTCCCCTTAGTTACCATTTACCTAAAAACAGACAAAAAATTCACATCAGTTACAATGTCTGTTTGACTGGCCCACAGCCAGATTGACAGATTAGGCATCCTTCACTCTTGAGAGACTATGGTAATGTGCTCTGAATGGAGGACTTGGAACAGCGTCTAGTGTGGCTGAGAAGACCAATTTGAGAGTGACAATCCTTTCCACACTGAAGACAAATACAATCTGTCCCCTGTCCAGCTTCTTGATTTTAATGGGTTCGGGACTGCCTCTTTGCCTTGGCCTGCTGGACAAGTGTCTCTTCAAAATGTGAAAGGCCATGATGCACCGCCTGCCTCCAGGCTGAACACTCAGATGTCAAGGTATCCCATCTGTTGAGGTCCATTCCTAAGGCCTTCAGATCCCACTTGCAGATATCCTTGGATTGCAGCTGTGATCTCCCTCTGGGGTGATTTCCCTGCATTAATTCATCTTTTGGAATCCGACCATCATCCACTCTCACGACATGCTCGAGCCAACACAGATGTCACTGTTTCACTAGTGTATACATGCTAACAATTCTAGCTCATTCTAGGACTACTCTATTTGGAACTTTGTCCTGCCAGGTGATACCAAAATGCGTCAGAGACAATGCATATGGGACATGTTCAGCTTCCTCTCCTGCCATGCACAAAGGGTTCAAGACTCACTGCAGTACAGGAGTGTACTCATGACACAAGCTCTATAGACCTGGATCTTGGTATATGTCATCAGCTTCTTATTAAGTCATACTCTCTTTGTGAGTTTAAAGAACATGGTAGTTGCTTTGCCAATGCGTTTATCCAGATCGACATCTAGGGAGAGAGTGTCAGAGATCGTTGAGCCAAGGTACACAATGTCATGGAAAACCTCAAATTCTTGTGTGGAGATGGTAATAGAGGGACGTGAGTCCACGCCCTGGCCCATGACTTGTGTTTTCTTCAGGCTGATTGTTAATCCAAAGTCTTGGCAGATCTTGCTAAAATGATTCATGAGTTGTTGGAGGTCTTCAGCAGAGTGGGCAACAACGGCTGCAACATCAGTGAAGAGGAAGTCCCACATGCATTTCAGTTGGACTTTGGTCTTTGCTCTCAGTCTAGAGAGATTAAAGAGCTTTTTATCTGACCTAGTCCGGAGATAGACACCTTCTGTTGCAGTTCCAAAGGTGTGCTTCAGCATGACAGCAAAAAAGATCCCAAACAGGGTTGGTGCAAGGACAGAGACCTGTTTCACTCCACTTTGGATGTCAAAGGGATCTGATGTTGAGTCTTCAAAAACTACAGCCGCCTTCATTCCCTCATGAAAGGACCTGATGATGCTGAGGAGTCGAAGTGGATATCCAATCTTGGGAAGTATTTTAAAAAGGCCGTCCCTGCTAACCAAATCAAAGGCCTTTGTAAGATCTATGAAGAGCACAAAGAGTGGCTGTCGTTGTTCCCTACATATCTCCTGAAACTGTCTGAGGGAGAATACCATGTCAGTGGTGGATCTGTTAGCTTGGAATCCACACTGTGATTCTGGACAGACTCTGTCTGCAATCACCTGGAGCCTCTTCAGTACAACACAGGCACAGAGATGCCACAGTAGTTATTGCAGTCACCCCATCTCCTTTGTTCTTATACAATGTTACGATGTTTGCATCCTTCATGTCCTGTGGTACTCTATCTTCCCTCCAGCAAAGACAAAAGACTTCATACAGCTCGGTGGTGATGATCTCTTTACAGCACCTCAACACTTCAACAGGGATGTTATCCTTCCCAGGTGCCTTGCCAGAGGTGAGGGAATCCAAGGCCACTTTTATTTCTGCTAAGGTTGGTTTGATGTCCAACTCTTCCAAGACAGGCAGGCACTCAATATTATTTAATGCCTCTTCAGTTACTACATTCTCTCTGGAATATAGCTCAGAGTAGTGTTGCACCCAGCATTCCATCTGCTGTGCTTGGTCCTGGATGATCACACCTGTAGCGGACTTCAAAGGAGCAGATTTCTTCTGTATTGGACTTAAATCCTGCTTGATACCATCATACATTCCTTTGATGTTACCCGTGTCCACTGCTATCTGTATCTGAGAGCAGAGCTGAAGCCAATAATCATTGGAACATTTCCTGGTGGCCTGTTGTACTTTGCTACAAGCAGCTCGAAGAACCTGCAAGTTGTACTCGCTAGGACAGGCTTTGTATGCTGCTAGAGCTCTCCTCTTTTCCTTAATGGCTGGCATCAGCTCCTCCAAACAGGCTTCAAACCAATCTGCCATCTTTTTGGTCTTCTTGACAAATGTGGACAAGGTGGTGTTATAAACAGCATTGTTGAAATGTTCCCATTGTTCAGGCGCATTTGCATCTTCTGCTCTCCTCTTTTCCTTAATGGCTGGCATCAGCTCCTCCAAACAGGCTTCAAACCAATCTGCCATCTTTTTGGTCTTCTTGACAAATGTGGACAAGGTGGTGTTATAAACAGCATTCTTGAAATGTTCCCATCGTTCAGGCGCATTTGCATCTTCTGGACCTGGAAGGATTTCCTCAAGCGCTTGGGCAAATTCCTCCACTTTTCTTTGATCATGAGTCTTGCTGATGTCAATATGTGGTCTTTTTTCCTTTGTCGTGTGATACAATCTCTTTGTTCACAGTTTTACTCTACTATATACCAGGGAGTGATCAGTATCATAATCAGCACTCTGGTAACTGCGTGTGATCATAATACTAGGAAGGGTAGAATGTCTGTTTGTTTGTTTAGTCGTTTAGTCATGTCCGACTCTTTGTGACCCCATGGACCAGAGCACGCCAGGCCGTCCTGTCTTCCACTGCCTCCCGGAGCTGGGCCAAATTCATGTTGGTCGCTTCGATGACACTGTCCAACCATCTCATCCTCTGTCGTCCCTTTCTCCTCTTGCCCTCACACTTTCCTAACATCAGGGTCTTTTCCAGGAAGTCTTCTCTTCTCATGAGATGGCCAAAGTATTGGAACCTCAGCTTCAGGATCTGTCCTTCCAGTGAGCACTCAGGGTTGATTTCCTTCAAAATGGATAGGTTTGTTCTCCTTGATTAACTGTGCACATAAATACATTTAATTTCAAGAGCACTTAAGCATGATTTAATTGAAACCCATCAAGCTCAACACTGTTTTACAGGGTAATTTTTGGGCTATTCCAGCACTTCTTGGTTTTAATCACAGTTTGAAAAAATCAAGAATGCTATCTTAATGAGGGAGCTTGAACCAGATAATCATAGTGTCTGTTTATGCATTTTCCAGGCATTATGCCTCAACATGGATAGAGGGTATATTACAGTGTCCCACTCCCAAAGTTTCCATTTCCATCTGCTCTGTTCATGACCCTCCTGAAATGATGAGAAATGTCAGGAAGGGGCTTGCTTCTTCAGGGTTTTGAACTATGTAGGGGTCTCTTATAGCAGTCAAATGTATCCCATGCCTTTCATGGCAACACAAGGAAGGTATGGTTAAGAGGACACCTGGCAAATACAGAGAAATAGTGGTAGGCCCAGTATACATAGCCTTGTTGTCTCCTGCATTCATTGATACACCCTGTTTTGGCTCAACACTTCAACAGAACTTTCCAAATCTTTGCATCATTAATAGCAACTGCAACACTAGTGCTTCATAGAAATACTAGCTGCCATTACCTATAACATTATCTTTTGCAGTTTCATTTATTTGCTACTCTTTTAGACCAGTAAGGGTCTAAAAACTTTTAAGGTAGCTCCCAACACAAAATTAGTGGAGTTTTAATTAACAGAACAACCATCTTCTTGTTTTGAATTTACATTCCTGTTTATTTCAACTGAGAATCAACACATTGCCTGTTTGTTTATACTTACATCCTGTAGAATAAAGAGTCCATTGTTGTTTCTATTTGAATTATAATGTTTGTAATAGTTTTAAATATGTTGTAAAACCAGCTTGGTGCCGCATAAGCTATATAAGCAAGGAAGTTTTCCCAGTTGCTTTTCATGTCTGCTCTTGATAAAAAGTTTGAGTTGTCAGCAAACAGTTATTTCAGTAACATTGTAAATAAGTATTTTTAAATATATTTTTTCTGTGGAAAAGCAATTTTGCTAGAACATGCCATACTTTCATTAATGTTTCCGATAACCAGTGTTTGATGCTGCAGTGATGTTGCTTTTTAATGGATAAAATATTTTTTTTTCAAATTGTCCAGTATGATACAACCAAATAATGTAAAATGCAACCAAGGAGAAGCGATCAAAACAAATAATGTTTAACAACAGAGCTTCTACCAGTGGTTACCATGGCACCTGCAAAGTTCCACAGCTGCCCTAGGGGGCAGCAGTGGTTCCAGATACAATTGTTAAAATTTCCAGGATGCTTGGCTTGGAGGATTTCAGTTTCCATTGTCAGATTCACTTGGTGGGCATCAGCTTGCAGTTGTTTGGCTGAAAGGAAAACCATGAGATTGCATCTTAGTATTATCAGTCCAACTCATTTTTTAAAACATATACACTTGGCCTGATATTCAGAGCTGTGTGTTGTGACCTAGAATTTGATAAAAGTCTCTATAAGTCCTATTGCCATTGTCATCTGAAGCATCATGGGTACAGTGTTAAACTTAGAAACCATCTCCGTGTCATTACAGCCGGAAGAGGGAAAAACCAGCTCATTGAAAAAAACAAAAACAGAATATTCCCATTCTTGTTCGAATACTTATATCTAAGAGTGAAATCTAGGGCACTTCCATATCAGAAAGATTATCTAATGACTCTGGTCCTGTGGAATGGCAGCATACATAACAGCAGGTTACAAAGAACCACTGATAGTCACAGTGCAAAGTACAAAAGATGAGATGAAAGATGCTTACAGCCTAGAAAATTAAATAATGGAAATGACAAGGAAGAGGGGGAATCTGTAAAAGGTAGTTGTAGGAAACATTCTTTACATAGCTCTAACCCTAACAACATATCTTTGGGGACTTTAGATAACTAAATAGTGGGGCAATGCTAACAATGCACAAGATCCTGTTCTGATGAGTGTGTTGGAGGACTTTAAAAAAAAAAATAACAAAGCTTTATTTTAGACAATCAATCACATTACAAACAAATAATACCAACAACATATCTTTGGGGACTTTAGATAACTAAATAGTGGGGCAATGCTAACAATGCACAAGATCCTGTTCTGATGAGTGTGTTGGAGTAGGACTTTTTTTAAAAAAATAACAAAGCTTTATTTTAGACAATCAATGACATTACAAACAAATAATACAATTAAATATTTGTCTTACTTCCTAAATATTTTAACATTCTAAACACCAGCTATTCACACCATTTAACAAAATTACAGTTAATCTTGAATCCCCATTCCATTGTAGAAAGTTACCGACCAACAATCTAGATTATTTCCAAAATCATGTGTCATCTCATTTATTTCGTTAGTTTAATAAAAAACATTCTAAACACCAGCTATTCACACCATTTAACAAAATTACAGTTAATCTTGAATCCCCATTCCATTGTAGAAAGTTACCGACCAACAATCTGAGCAATCTAGATTATTTCCTAAATCATGTGTCTTCTCATTTATTTCGTTAATGTATTTTAATAAAAGTTTCCAAGTTTTGAAAGAAATGGACTGTGCTTCATTTCTCCTCTGTATATTCTGAACTTATTGGTCAATTTCTCTATCAAGAGCATTTGCCACGCCCTATTCAAAACTGTCTGTAATGAGTAGGAGGACTTGAGTGCTTTGATAGGCATAGGCAAGTAGCATCACTTTCTCAACTGCCCCTCCTGTGGGAGAACTCAGCTTCTTAGCTCACATATCAAGCTGATGTGAAAAATAGTACCATGAGTGAAGGGGGCTGCAGCATCTCTTTATTTTGGGGGGAAGACTATTAACAAGCACTAGATGGGAGTAAAGAATATAATATGTGGCTATATTTTTCTCACACCCTCCTCCATCATTTAAATTTGACCTATTCTGGCAATCATTTCAACTGAAGAGCAGAGTATAAGGCAATAAATGAGTAAATAAAGGGTCTCTTGTATACCGTTCAGACTCTTGTTTTCTTCCTCCAGGTAAATTATTCTCAAGTTGCATAATATAAGGGCATGAAAAGCAGATGGTACAATGCCATCTGGCATTGCTTCTTAAGGGGAAGAATTCCCGTGTGGCCAAAAAAAAAAAAAGGCTTAGAAAAAGAGGAATGAGTGATACTAAAGATATAAGGCTGCCACTTATTGTCCTTTTATCTCAGAGTTTGGCTTGGTTTGGTTTTTCTTTGGTTTTTTGCTGAATTTATAAGCACCCTTTATTTATGCAATATAGTTGTGAGAGGACACCCCTTAAATATATCCAGTATCAATTATGTTCATGTGAGAGCTGCTCCTTCATTTACAAACATTTCAGTTCTCTTGCAATGCATCAACACACTGTGGAATTATGGTACAAATGTTCTTAAAATGGAACTGCAAATCAGCAGACAACTATACATATTAATTTGCTGATACCATCCACAAGGATTGCCTTTATTAGATCATTATGGCAACAGAGTGCAGCCTAATATGTTAATATGATTCATCTCTCTTTCTATTTTGGACCTCAAAGATAAGGAGTGAGTTGCCAGGCTGGCACAGCTGTACTTTCACAGACTCTGTCATAATAACATAACATGGCTGTCATCAGTGAATCTTTGGCTGACCTACTGAGTCATCTCAAACTGAAGCCACTAACACTGTCCAGATGTCATATTATTTCCTTATTTTAATTTGGTGGAAATGAACCATGCAACTAAATATAGTGTTAATGACTTTATGATTATCCAGGATCTCATTGATTTTGTTTGTATTTTGTTCATTTTTACATAAATGTAACATGCAATCTGGAGACTGTATGTTTTATACACACACACACATACACACACACTGCGTGTGTGTGTGTATGTATGTAGATAGATAGATAGATAGATAGATAGATAGATAGATAGATAGATAGATAGATAGATAGATAGATTAGATAGATAGATAGATAGATAGATAGATAGATAGATAGATAGATAGATAGATAGATAGATAGATAGATAGATAGATAGATAGATAGATAGATAGATAGATAGATATAGAGATATAGATAGATAGATAGATAGATAGAAGGCTTTGCCAGAAAATATATTGGTTGGTATGGACAGGATGTCTTTCTTTTTCAATTAAAGGAAGACTCTCCTCTCAACATGTTTATTGAAAATCTGTTTTTATAGACTTTTGCCAGATGGTTGTTCACCAAAGCAGATAAAAACTGACTGCAATTCTAACATTTATCTGTACCATATCTCTTGAGTATGCTTCCATGGATAATTTTGTTCCATTCTTCATTTAAATGTATTTATTATTAAATGTATTATTAAATATTATTTAAGGCTGCAATCCTGAAAAGCCCTGCGAGTGGAGGACGTGGCAGGAGCTCTACTCTATTGGCAGAAAACCAGATATGCTACTTTGATGAGAGCTACATCTCAGAGCAGAGCTGTTCCACTAGTCAGGATATTCTGGCAGGAAGGTTAGAACAGGGATGGGCTGTCAGTGGGACGTGAAGAGTGGGGAACAGGCACAACATTCCTTTAATGCACAGAAAGTAGACCTGGCCTATGGGAGGGATGGACCACAGTTCTCAGAATCCCATAGCCAGCAATAGTCACACTGGCTGTTTGGTTCTGTGTGGAATAGTTATAAAAAAAAGGTACACACGTTTCCCACCTCTACTGTTTCTTCTCTCTTCTTCACAGGTGTTTCTCATCTTGTACATCTCTGCGTGTTCTCTACCATCGAGTGAAGTGCTTAGAATTATAACATCAGATGAATATAAGAGTTTCCTTGCTGAATCATGTCAATATTCATGTTAGATCCTACCATGTGTTCAACGGCAGCCAACCTCATGTTTCTGGAATTTTAGGAGCAGAGACACAAAGACAGGCAGCTACATTTTCAATATGGCATAATTGTTAGAATTCAGGGCTTGGAAAAGTTACTTTCCCTAGCTCTCTTAGCTATGAGCTGTGAGCTGCCTTATTGTAGATCTCATCCATCCTGGTCAGTACTGTCTTGCACTGATTTGTAGCCAGTTTCAGACAGTGGTTTCTTCTGGTCCTACTTGGAGGTGCCAGGGGTTGCCCCTGGGATGTTCTTGTTAGAAAGAATGTGTCATACCTATAAGCTATGCACCCCTTCCTTTAATGTACTGTAGCTCCCACTGTGGAAATAAAATGTATTTCTTGTTTTCACTAAATTTCCTTCGAGATTGCCCTCACTGCTTCTGCGCTGGATCTAGACACAGCAAAATCAATGGAATTTCAGTAAGTCATGTCATTAACAAATTCCATTGAATTTCACTGGATCTCCTCTAACTTGCATGAAGTGTGACTAGCACTATATAGTTTTGATGAAACTGGCTATTAAAATTAATAGTTTTATTATTTTGTGTAATACTGGGAATATAATATACACTAAAGAGTGTTATTTATCTTGCCCCATAAATTCTACCTCTCATTCCTCCTTTGTAAAATGAAGCAGTTAATGACCTGTCTCACAGAACTCTAATATAAACAATGAACTAAGTGTAGCTCACTTCACATATAATAGAACTTAATAATAGTTGTTTGAATGTTATAATTGGATTTTGTTTGTACAGCCTGTTTAAAAATGACCTCATTCATTAAAATATGTTAAAATGATTGCCTTATAACTTTTTCTGGTGGCTCAAACTCAACCAGGCTCAGATTTCCCCACATGTAAGAATCACATGTAGAGAGAAACATTTTCTTACATCTATACATAAACTGCCAGGTTTCCATGGTCTGGCAGACTGAAAATGATTCAGAGGTTTAATATTTCTTTGCAGTTAGCTGCATAGCTCTTGCAGTATATAATGGATGACTCATTACTCTGTCTCCCCAATCTTCTTTTATGTCCAATAGAACTAATAATAATGTTAGGTTTCCTTTTTAATTTCCAACATACAAGATATGGAACTCCAGGAGATACAGAACCACAAACTACAGTTAAAATTCAGAGAGTGTAAGGTTTTTTTTTCCCCACTGGAAGAGGTACATTTCAAACCGACATGAGACATTTGGACTAAATCTTCTGCAAACTTTAAATGTGATGTGGAAGTTCCTGGATGCTATAATTATATTTGAATAAGATTATGCACTGTTGTTTCAGCAAACTGTAATAGAATATTTCTCATGTGATATCATTTAATTTCATGTGGAAAAGCCAAAGCTTTAAATCTACCTGGTATGTAAAGAAACATGATGACACTCTACCTTTAAAAAGCCCTACAAATCCTACATTTTCTTCATTACAAGAGGGATGGTGAGAAAGAAAGAAAAATTACAGTCCATTTCAACTCCTATTGGCACATCAGGTTTAAAATGCAACTGGTCCTTCACAATAACATCTCATGTTACTGGGGTTTTTTTCCACAGAAATGGTATGGCCTGTATTTATAGCTCATTTTGGTCAATATAGCAGCTTTGAATGGTTGTGTACCATTCTACATATCTGTATTTCATCATATGCAAAATTACATGTCTCTTATATTTTTTAAAAATCCTATGAACAAAGAGAAGCATACTTACTTGAAAACCAATCTCAACAATGTCAACACATTCAAGTCTGCATTCTTTATCTGCTTGATTCATGTGCTCACAATTATGTCTTTTCTGGAGAATCCTGCCTTCTCATGATGTGCTCAAAGTAGGACACCCTCAGTTTCAACATTTTTTGCCTCCAGAGATAGCTTGATTTTTGTTTTGTTATTTATGTAACAATATTAGTGAGATAGTCTTGGATGCTTCAGCATCGACAGCTGTATATTCCCTTTAAAAAACACAAATCCACAACTATATTCAGACCTAATCACTGAAAAGCAAACTAGTTAATATTTCTTAATGTCATTGATTTTGAATAAGTTAGGCTTTGATGCATACATCTTTATTTGCAAGATTAATTTTCTTCATTAAAAATGAATAATTGTGGGGGATGCCTTGGAACTCTCTTGATCTTTTCATTCATCTGCAAAAAGAAGCACATTCTTATTAATTTAGATATTGATTCATTTCCTTTAAATAAATGTGTATGAGCAACATTTTATACATGCATGTCAAACTGTAATCCTAGTTTTTTGAAGGCACACAGATACAGGTCTGGCTCCTTTCCTATCACATGTACTAAATTTTGCAGCCCACACGTTTCATGGTAATATCTGTGTGGGGTAGGTGGGTGGAATCAAGATTCGGTATTGTAAGAAAACAAAGAAAGCACATTTTATTAATTCAAAATAAAACCTATATTTGGATACAGAGTTAATCATGCTCAGAGCTTTTGTTACATGTTGTCAAGTTGTTTCCAACTTACAAAGACCTTATGAATGGATAACATCTGGAAGGTCCTGTCATTAACACTGCTTATGTCCTTATAAATTCAGACTCCACTACCTGAATTGTTAGATTGCCTAATTTTCAGCTCATTCAACTTCATACATGTTTTACTCTGTGGCTATTTGCTGATGCAGTGACCTTGCCCTGGCTAAAGTACATGCTATGCAAAGACCCATGCAGGGAATATCTAAATGAGTGCAATCTTTCTTCCTTAGCAAAAAGGTGAGGAACCAACTATTTATTATCTAAATGAGTGCAATCTTTCTTCCTTAGTAAAAAGATGAGGAACCAACTATGTCAGGGATGGGGGGTGGATGGGGGAATGTTGTCTTCCAAATGACAACATTCCCCCACCAGGCGGCTTACAATTGGAGCAACAATAAAAGTATTACTATGTCAGGGATGGGTGGTGGGTGGGGGAATGTTGTCTTCCAAATGTTGTTGGACTACAAATCCCAACACCGCACACCACAAGCTATACTACCTTCAGATGGCAGGAGCTGTAGTCCAGCATCATCTGGAAGCATCACAAAGGTGGAACCTTAAAGACTAAGCAAATTTATTTCAGAGTGAGCTGAAATAAGTATATAGATCCGGAAAATCACACATTTCCTAGCTCTGCCCTATGTGGACCTACCAGATAAGCACAGAGGTGGACAGCCTGTGATTTTCAAAGACAAAGGGGGAAAAGACCTGCCTCCAGCCTTTCAAACATAGGACGGTCACCAGAGGAACAGCTTATTACTCCGTGCGTGGTGAGAGGTATTCTGAACACTTGCGTCCCACCTTTGCTCTGCCATTAGGGGAAAAGCTCCTGGCTATGGTGGGCTATGTTTGAACTTGAGCTGAAAGGGGTGGGGGATGGGGAATTAGTGATCTTTTCTCTTAGCCCAGGTTCCCTTCAATTAAGTACTATGAAGTACACACATCCTTAGATCCCAAAGGGTCCCACTGAAATTAGGAAGCCTTACTTACTTTGTTGTCCTAGCCTCCAGGAAAGGCATGCACGTATTATAACCATATCTCACCTACCCCACCCTCAACTCTCTCACCTTTCCTGTCCCGGCAATAAGCAAGGAAAACGGAAAACTTTTGCGCTCCTGCTCGGGAGAGGAGCCCATCACCATTCAAATCCATGGGGAAAATCGAAAAGGGCTCTCCTTCCCTCACGCCTTGTCAATCACGCCCCCCTCTCTCTGCCTCCAGGCCACGGGCTTTCCTCCAGTGACGTCAAATACTCATCCCCCCCCCCAGTGACGCCTCTGCTCTTTCCAGGGCTTTATCTCCCTCCTCCCTACCCCACCTCCGAGGGCTCAGCGTGGCGCGCGGGACGGCTTGCAGCGGAGGCGGCTAAGTGCGCCCCCTTCTCCCCCTCCCCTCTTGACTGGCCACCTGGCCCCTCCTCCTTCATTCATCTCCGGCTGCCGGTGCCTTATCCCCCGTCCTGGCCTGCGGTTGGTCTCCTTGGCTTCACAGCCAATAGCGGCGAAGGTTGCGCAGGAGCCGCCGCCGCCGCCCGCTTTTGTTGGGCTGAGGAGAACGCGAGGGGTTCGGCCGCGCACCGGGAGGGGTGAGTGGACTGGCCGCCGGTGGCCGCCGGGGAGGCGGCTCGGAGGTGGGCCAAGCATCCCTCGCCTTGGGGCGGACCCGCTGGAGGCGGGAGGGCGGCCTGTCCCGGGAGCGGTGCGCGCTTGCCTGCCTGCCTGCCTGCCTGGCTCTGGAAGGCGAGGACCCGGCTTTTCCGGGGG